GAAAAAGAGAAAAATGGTGGCGCTCATCATCGGCCTGTTTTTTTGTTATTTGACAGTGGCAGGCGGCGGTTTGAAAAGAAGTAAGAGAAATCCTAATGTTGAATTTTTTTTATTTGCAGTGATAACTTTTATAAATTATAATAATACTGTAAAAAAGTAATTATATATAATAATTTTAATCCACGTAATTAAATATATCTATGCGATGGTTTTATAATGTTAAAATATTTGGCCCAAAAGATGACCACAAATAAATTTGGAATAGAATTCAAATTATGTAAAGTATAATCTTGACCACAATGAAACTTATCCCATTGTTTTAATTTTGGTTCTCATTAACTCAATCGGAAGATTCTCTTAGATTTAATTTCTTCTCAACAAAAATATAAGTACTATAAAATTTAGAAAAGTAGTGGACAAATTATTCTAAAACGGAATAACTACAAAATTAACCATCAATCTATGTTAATGAAACCAAAAACTTATACTTATATACGTATACATCGAGAAAAAAAATCTCCATTCCATTAGATGGTTCAGTCGACTTTAATAACCGTTAGATCATTAAAATAAATATCAACTATTAGATTAAAAAGAGGTGCTCGGTAATTAAAATACACTTAATTGTACCTGATAATTTTATACAACCCAGAACCTACTAAATCCGTCGCATTACCATGAAGAATAAAAAAAATCTGTGATAAACATTAAACTTAAATCCGAACTAAAGAACACATTCATCTTTTCTCGTTAATCTACTCCTGACTCTATATGTTAATCCCAATCTCACCGGAAAACCAATCTATACATACTAATCAATTAAATTGCTCCATTTCAATGCTATATTTTCAACCAGCAATATTTCTCTTTTTGTTTCCATTCAATAGTCATAGTGGACGAAAGAAGAGAGAAGGAAGAAGCCGAAAGGAAGAAAGAAGATCAAGCCTATAAGAAACTGGACCATAAAAAGGTAAAAATTGCGAGACGCTATCTTGTCTTGTTTTCTTAGTATTAGTGGTTTGTTCATGATGCAAAATGTTTGAATTACTTTCTGAAATTGGTTTACGATGATGTCTTGATTGGAAAAAAAAAGTTGAATCTTATGAATGGAATTTTGAAGATAAATTTCACGGTCTCTCAATTATTATTGAATTTGGTTCTTAACCGAAGCAGTAGGCCGAAAATTTTGCACTTAACCATTATGTATCTGTTTAATTCGCATGACTCCTCTTTCATTATTTTGATTTGGTTAATGTCTTGTGGCCTTTCTATTTAGCAATATGTATGATGGTCCCTGTTGCAAAAAAAAAAAAAAATAGCGTTGTTGGTAGAAATTAATAATATAAGGAAATGTGCAAGAATATCATTGAGTTTGTTTACGTCAATTCATTACCATATAGGTAACGAATCCCGAGGTTAATGAGACTGGTAATGTCATTGCAAATTGAGCCATTGAGTCTATTACCAGGAACAAATAATTCTTATAACCTTGAAAATTTGTAAACATTTTCGGACAGAGGTCCCGAGATTGAAACGGAACATGCTCGCAAAGACATCATTTTGGTACAACTTTGAACATTTTAGGGGATTGAACCATTGAATCGATTGCAAGAGAATTCAACTGAAACATTCCATTCAAGGCGAGATGATAGAGTTGCCGTACGTGTTCTTCGAGAAGGCATCAATGACTCTTGATCCAGCCGATTCCCAAACGAGCCATGGCAAATGACTACAAAAAGCAGAAAATTAGCCCCATGACCAGTACAGTTTTCATAATCTCCAAATGAAGGTTTCCAAAGGGTTCGACAATCATAGGTCAGCTGGATACAAAAGGAAGAGGACATGTAGAAGAATAGAAGAAGAAGAAGAAAAAGAGAATGGATAAATGGTCAAGATGGTGCTAAAAACAGAAAGAAAGATTGCCAAGAAGTTGCCGGTGTAGAGTTGCGAAAAAAAATGTCAACTACACTTAAAGATGTCTACTTGTCATTCTACATTCTCAGGATGTCTACTGTATAGTCCGACTTTAGTATTAACAAGATAATTTTGGTACACTTAAATCCCATCATGGAGGTGAGATACAAAGATTGCCGATTCAAAAAAAAAAAAAAATTAAAACCAAAATAATTTTGGTACTCTTTATCATATTTAAATATTCTCAAATTAACAAGATAGTAAATGGAGAAATAGATGAAGTAAAGTTAATAGTTTTGTGAATTTCTGTAATCAATGATTCATAAGACAGACTTTAGCTAGCGAATTACATTGGCGTTGTAGTTGAAACAAAACGCCTTGATCAATAAATTGTGATACTTGAAATTCACTCTCATTGCAACATTTGGGAATTGGCAGCCGAGTTGCAGCTGATGACGTTGACTTTTCAATAACTCTTCGGTTTGGCAACACGGTCATAGAAACTTCCCACTTGATTCAAGGAGCAACCTAGTGGAAATCTGTGTATATATACAGTATAACACATGTTAAATCAGTTCATATTGGAAATCATTTCCCTGGGATTTGGTGTTTTGTTCCAGAACTTTAATTTGTTTGAGCCTCTTTCTAATTTGTTGTTTCTTTTTTCTTTCTCGGAAGATGATGATGATAGTTTTTTATGATCATCTTTAACTTCATGATCAAACACAACGTATGTAACTCTCCTAAGGAAGTTTTTTGTTTCGGAGTTGGACTCGTTTTCTCGGAAAAAAGAAAACTTGATATGAATTCCTTGTAAAAACAATAATAATAATAACATGATCAGTTAATAATTCTTTTATCCTTATTAAAGTTAATTAAAGTTCATCTTGGTAATTCTTAAATGTAAATTACCCGATTAGCTCGTCAATGGTTTTGTTAAGATAAAGCACACCCCATGGTTAAATTTGGGCCATCAAATTTCTATCGGATACACTTAAACTGGATGATTAAGTAAAAAACTTATGATTGGACCATTGAATTTTGGCCTCCCGAGTTTTGGTTCGATCTATATAAATCCTCCGAATTTTGGTAATACTGCCATATACCCCTTGATAGGGGTTAAATATTGAAATGACTAAAATTCATTTCCTTTTCTTATTCAGTTTGTTTTTCTTCATTCTTTGACCATTTAAAATAAAAATTACTTAATTTGTTATTTTTATATTTAATTATAACATGAGTTTGGTTTTTTTAATTATAATATAAGTTAATAATATGAAACTCTAAGATTAATACATAAGTTTATTATGCTTCAAAAAAAGTTAATTTATGAATATTATTTTATTTCAAAAGACATATATAATTGATTTTAAAACTTATTACTTAAGTGCGCTAATATAAATGAGTTGATATGGAGTGTCTTTTAAATTAATTTATAACATATTTTTAAAAACATTGAAACAAATTGTATAACTTAGAAAAGATGGATTCAGAGTTTCTTTTTTTTCTTTGACCATTTACACAAAATGAATGATGATGTTAGTTGTGAAGGAGTCATTTGGTAGAGTGACTACGAGTCAAGGGGTATATGGTAGTATTACCAAAATTCGGAGTGTTTATGGTAGATTGGACTAAAACTCGAGAGATAAAATATAATTTCCTCAAATAAAAATGAAGTGCTCAATAAGTTGGCCATTGGTAAAAGATTTTTATTTTATTTTTTTTTTGGTAATGTTAAGTGTATTTTGAATTTTACAATAAAAGCTTTGGGGAATATCACATCTTTGAGTAAATTTCAATTTATTTTCCATTTTATCCTCATTTAAATTAGTAGCCAATTGGGGAATACAAATTCAAAATCTTATATATTAAAGGATGAAGAATCATTAACAAATTGAGCAATCTGACTCAATCAAAAAAGTTTCGGTGACGTGTCACAATTATGTAAGGCCGTAAACAAATTCACTTATTACTATTGTATTACTATTATTCGGATAAAATTTGTCAACTCCTAGTCTATGCATTCAATCAACAGAATATTTAATACTATTATTTAAGGTTTAAATCAAACTAATTAGTCCCTATCCAGAATCCTCATAAATCTAACTCTAATCTAGAATCTAATGATTCGAGATCTTGAAATTTATGTCCAGTAAGAGCTAAACTAATATATAAATTATAGATATCAATAAATACTCGATTGGTGATAGCTACTAAATTTAGGTGCAGTCTGGTATAAAATATATCTCTTGGGTAGACCCCTTGAGTATGTTTATGTCATATGGAACCTGAATGTCATCTATCCATTCAAATTTTTTTTAAAAAAAAAAAGCAGCTAAATTTAGGGATGTTGAACCATAGACCTCTGGTTCTGAGATAAACAAGATCTACCGAACTACATTAGAAGTAAAATGAAAATTATTTTCAATTTTATGGTTTTGATTTAAGTGATGATTGTGTATCAATTGTGAACGTTCGGATGCTTCTTTTTCATGATTTTGCTGATACTATAAAACCAACATTGGAATTCTTAGTAAGGACACCTCTAGGATTGTGACAAATGTGGTTTTGGATATTACGTTCCTTTTAAGGCACTGTCAACGGTCTCCAAATCAAGACCTAGTTTTCTAATTTTTTTTTGAGTAAAATTAACTCATTAATGGAATTTCGATTGTATCTCTACCTTGTTTTGCAAAAGTTTAGATGGTCTATGATAAGGCAAATTACTAATAAGCCCAATGGGGAAATATTGGGCCTAGACAGAACTCAGCCCCTTGGCCCAATTACATATGGATCCTATGTCGTGGGTCTCATTTTTGGACACTTCCTAAATAGTGAACTATAAATATCCGAACACATTTATTTTAGGGGGTTAATTAATATTTCTCTTTCTCTCTCTGTGTGTTTTTATTTATTTTCTCTAACTATACTAGTTTTAGTATCGGAGTGCTAACCTCTATTTTGCAGGTTTCCGACCTGGTTGACCGTTGACTCACCGCCATCGGGATTCGTTTTCGTCAAATGGCACCGACTGTGGGGAGGCATATACTTGGTCAAGGACGAGCTCCAAATGCTCTATGAGAGTTATGGTCTCTACTAGGGCGAGACACGAGGAAGGCATCCTTCCCGCTGCTCTGGAGCTACAAAATCATCTCATCCTTCCTGCTGCTCCCATGGGGATGACTTCTGGAAAGCTTTCTCCGAAACGTACTCTGAGTTTGGACGAAGATTCAGGCATTTTGAGGAGGACTAATATGGCAAGGACGACAAAAGACAAAGTGCCAGTTTGCAGTTCGTAGGAGAAACACACTGATCTCGGGGTCGGTCTAAAGAACGACAAGAAGAACAAGCAGCCAAGTGCCCCAATACCCGAGAATCACCGCGACCTGTCGTTCTGACTTCGGACAAAGGGCGACCTGTCATAGTATTGGGGATCGACTCAAGACTGAAGGCCGTTCTCAGGGGCATGAGGCTAGTCAAAACCCCTTTGCAGAGCATATTCAGGTGTATACAAAGCCCGACAATTTCAAGCTGCCCGAAGATATCAAGAAGTACAGCGGAGACACCTGTCCAATCGTCCTTTTGGCTGACTATACAGCAGCAATGGATCTTCGAGGAGCATCAAGAGAACTCATGGCCAAGGCCTTGCCGATCTTCCTCACCGACAGTGCCAATACGTGGTTTGACAATTTACCACCAGGAAGTGTTAGTTCATATCTCAAATGGAGAGCGATGTTGCATGTGTTATTCTTCTCCTGTAAGAGGGCTTCCAAGACTATTCATGAATTGGCTTCGGTACGTCAGCGGAAGAATGATTCCTTGGCCCAATATTACGATTGGTTCAACAAGGAGTTGATACTTATTGACCAGATAGACAACCTTGTTGTCCGGGTCGAATTCCTCAACGGATTATCTCCCTTTGGAGCCGGGGCTGCACTTTGGAGGAAGCTCATGGATAAATTCCCCGAGAGCACCCAAAGACTCTGGAAGATAGTTAAAAAGGAAGTCAGAAAGGAGGAATCACTCCGGAGGGCTCGAGAAACATTCCACGACAACAAGAAGGAGCAAAAGTGATAAAAATCATATAGCCTTCCATGGAGGTTCTCCTAGTGAGGGAAATGAGCTAGTCCTTCATTCTAGTTTTGGGATGCCAAGTTTACTTTGCAGGCCAATCAAGGAAGAAAGGATGGATCTTAACTACCTATGTAATAGGGAGTTGGTTCAAGAGAGCTATGATCAAGATGATGAGAATGTCATTAACTTTGGGGTTCAAACCAAAGGAGATGATTCACTCATGGAAATAAGTGCTCAAGAGTATCAAAGGAGTTTGACTCTAGGTGCTCCATGAAGATCATTGATCATGCTAGAGAGAAGAATCATTTAAGTTCTTGAATGGACGGCCTATTTGATCAAAATGTTCAAGATTGAGTCCATTGCTATACAATTGGATAGGTTGCAAACTATCTCAACTGTTTCAAGTGTTTTTCCAATCTTTTGGAGTCAATAAATAGAATTCTACAAGTTTTGGAGTAAATTGGAGTTATCTACAACTTGAGGGGCGCAAGACCAATATTCCACTTTTGAAAGGGTGTTCAAGACATTTTACTTCAATATTTGGAGCTGATTTTCGAGATTTAGAGGATTATCTAGTCTAGGAGTTATTTTCGAATTTTATCTAGTTAAGATAAGCCATGTGGGCTGAATTAAGCTAGAGTTGATTATGAGTCTTAGATTCCTTCTAAGTATTATCCTATTTGAGGATAAGTCATTTAGATAAGGTTTCCTAGATTTTAGATAGTGTCAAAGAGATCAAATACTCTTCTACTTCTACTCCTGCGTGAGATAAGATTAGAGAGTCCTAGTTGGTCTTCTTTTTTGGTGCTTGGCCAAAATTCATAGCCTATAAATAGGGGGGTATGGCCGAAAGTTAAAGCACCCATGTATGGTCATTTTGAGTCTTCTCTAATGAGAATTTTTCTTGTGAGGAATTTTTGTGAAATGATGTGTCCATTTTTTGTGTCAAGTATGATTTAACCAAGAGGCTTTTCATCTTGTCTTGGAACTTTTGATCTTGCGGAAACTGTTTTTCAAACATGCTTCTTGATAGAATGTTTTAAAACTAAACTTCTTATTTTCATACTACTTCTAGTAGTTCGAGAGTTGAGCCTTTCTTTTGCCTATGGTTTTCGAGTTCATGATGTGTGCGTTCATGAGTTCCTTAGTGGGGTTTGTCCTACTTTTGTTGGATGAGTTGTGCTTTGGCATAAGTATTTTGAGATAGTGTATCTGTTGCATATCTTTGTTGGTTATGGAGATTACTAATCAATAGTATTCCTTCATAGTTGAGCATTGTTTGCTCCTACCTTTCTTGAGTCTCTTGAATGATGACTAATCGAGTATATTGAATGGTATCCTTACTATTCTTAGTGTGTGTTGTTGTTTAATTCGAATCTTTCATAGATAATGTGTTCTTTGCTTGGTTTGAGTTAAGAGATAGAATTCCTTAGATAAACGATTGTCTTACTGTGAATTTTCCGCACTCTTTTGAGTCTCACGGGATAGACAAATTATCTTCGTACTTTCTTGTTTGATGGTTGCATTAACGAAATTTGCTTCATCTACGAGATTGCTATAAAAAAGAGTGAAGAAAAAAGGCCGAATCCAGGTATGTCTAAGTTTGAATAAAGCTAACTTCACTCGCTAAAACACGGAGAAAATCTTACAAATTCACAAGGGGGAGTTCAAAGCTCCCCCAAAGCTGAAGTACCTGGGCTCTTTCGAGGAGTGGTGCGACTATCACCAAGGACAAGGCCATGATAACGAAGATTGGCGACTCTTATCGCAGGAGATCGAGGAAAGACTCAAAGCCGCGAAATTCCTGGAGTAAGTGAAGAAAAAGAGAGGGAATGCCGGCTACAAAGAAAAAAGAATCAAAGATGGAAAAAGAAGAGTGTCAAAAATCAACCCGCGAAGCTCGAAGTAGGGGGGACGAATAAGGTTGTAGACGAGGCTCAGACCTAGAAAGTCCTAGCCGCCCCCGTTGGTGCTATCTTTGGAGCATGCCAAGCCTTTCAAAGTCTATCAATGATCAAAAGAAATGCCCAACCACGGCCCTCGAAGAGATCACTTTCTTCGACCCAGACGTCATCACTAACACAACCGAAGGTTTAGACACCCTTGTGATTGAAGCCATCATTGCTAATTGAGAAGTTTGGTGTGTGTACGTGGACAATGGGAGTTCTATGGATATTATGTACTATGACTGATTTCAGAAGTTAGGCCTCGACCGGACTATGCTTCAGCCCGCTCCCACGTCGCTGGTAGGTTTCTCAAACCATGTGATTATGCTTTTGGGTGTTATTACTCTTACTATGACCGTAAGAACTCAGCCTTGGGCAAAGATGGTGCTATGGACTTTGCTATGGTCGACGTTGTCGCCCCCTTCGACATCATCTTGGCTCGACCATGGATGTGCAAAACCAAAGTCGTCTATTCCCCCAACCATCTAGTCGTGAAGTTCCGAATGAAGGCAGGAGTGGCGGAGATTCGAGGAAACCACCAGTTAGCAAAGCAGTGCCTAGTCTTCGCCATGAAAAAAGGAAGAGAGTTATTGTTAAAATGGTTGGAGGTGAACATGGTTCAAGGGATAACGTCCATTACTACGAAAAAGTCAGAGGAAGAAGAAGCAGACGCCCCTGTAGTCGGAACCGATGGAGAATATGATGCAATACCAATCAACCCATACGTGGAAGGTCGGGCTTTACAACTAGGTCATATTCTCCCTCATAGCCTTCGGGAGATGGTGGTCCGATTACTTCAAGAGTACCAATATATCTTTGCATAGGAGCCTTCGAACATGACCGGGATCCCTACAGAGTTAGGCATTTATTTCCTTCATGTGGACCCCGGTGCTCATCCTATTCAACAAAAGAAGAGAAAGATGGCCCCCGAAGGGAGTGTTGCTATAGATGTCGAGGTCGTAAAACTACTAGTTGTGTCGTCGTGAAGGAGATCCTCTACCCGGCGTGGCTACCTAACCCAGTAATGGTGAAAAAGCCCGACCTGTTATGGAGAATGTGTGTTGATTTCACGGACCTGAATAAGCATTGTCCAAAGGACTGTTATCCTTTGCCGGCCATCAAGCAAAAGATCGATGCTATCACTGGATACTTGATTTTGTGTTTCCTTGATGCTTACAAAGGTTATCATCAAATCCTCAGGGCTAACGGAGACGCTGAGAAGGCTGTATTTATCACTGACCAGTGAATCTTTTGTTACGAGAAGATGCCCTTCGGTTTTAAAAATGTCGGGGCTACTTATCAAACGATGGCTAACCGACTCTTCAAGACGCAGATGGGGTGCAACATGGAAATCTATGTCAATGATATGGTGGTAAAAAACACTAAACTCGCCTCAGTTGTATACGACCTCAAGGAGACTATTCAGACTCTGCATCGGGTTACTATGAAGCTTAACCCAAAGAAGTGCATCTTTTGCTTAGGGTCAGGAAAATTCTTGAGGGTCTTGGTTTCACAGCAAGAAATCGATGTGGATCCGAGTCAGGTGTAAGTCGCTATGTTTTCAAAATTGGGATTTCACACAGGATCGTTTTGGCGTCTCAGGATCGGATTGGATTCTAGATCGGTGGGATCAGATCGGTGGGATCGTAACCATTTAAAATATTATAATAAATCTGAAATTATAAGTTTCAATTTGTTAGTTCAATTCTTGTTTGATTTTATAGAGGAGAAGTAGACTAGTGCCCACATCCGTATCATTAACTCAAAATTTCAACTTTTATATCTTTTCTAATCATTTTCCCCTCTTTTTATACAAAATTAACAACTTGTACAAGTATCGACAAAATCAATGGAATCATTGGATCGTAGGATCCTACGATCCAGATTGGGATTTTGAATGATTCCATAAGATCCCACTACAAAGAAGGATTTTATAAGATCCAGGATCGATTTCCTAATTCCAGATCGTAGGATCGTAAGATTCTAAGATCCGGATCGGGATTTTAAAAACTATGCGGTCCTCGACATGAGAGGACAATTCCTGTCGAAGGTAGCTCAGAAGGGTTTGTCGTTCTTCAAGGTGTTGCAGAAGTCCCACACCTTCAACTAGAATGACGAATGTTGGCTCGCTTCCCAACAACTGAAGGAGCACTTAAAGTCTCTCCCCACCTTGACGAACCCTAAATCAAGGGAAGTTTTGTCCCTTTACTTGGCCGTGGGGACGACCACCTTAAGTGCAGTACTTGTTCGTGATTTGAAAGAAAACCAGTTGCTAGTGATTGCGCTAAGGCTCGGGAAGCTCATAACAAACAACAGCAAGCGAAGTACTATAATGCCTGAGTTCGAACCCGTCACCTGACTGCGGGTGAACTTGTTCTCCGAAGGAATGATATTATCCATGCTGAGCTGACTGGAAAGTTGTCTCCCAATTGGGAAGGTCCCTACAAGGTTGTGGAAGTCTCAGCGTCGGGAAGTTACCATCTACAGATATGTCATGACGACCCCGTCCTCCTTTCTCGATGGTTGAACATCCAAAACTTGAAGAAGTTTCATGTGTAGCCTCATCCAAAGGTGCACCCTTTGTTTTGCCTCTTTTTGACGAAGTAAAGTAGGGAAGGTCTCACCTCTTGTACTCTCTGAAGTATGAATTGGTTGACAATATAATATTCGTCCTTCCCAAATCAAACGTGTATCTCTTTAGTCGTTTGACCTTTAGGGAGGTCGACGACTCGTGTCCGGCCAACATGGTCGATGACTCAATCCCCGATCAACTAAGTCTTAGGATCTCTTTTAGTGGTCCGACCCTCAGGGAGGTCGATGACTCGTGTCCGGTCAACATAGTTGATGGGTGTTGAGACCACCGAAGAAAATCTACTGAAACCTGCAGACAATGGTAAGCAAGGTCGATCCCATAGGGACAGGGAAAACTCTAATAAACCCCAAATGATTCGACTCTAGTCACAAAGAAACATAAAAGACAGATGACTTGCGAAAGTGAGAAAGTGACTTAGCAAAGTTTTATGGGGATCTTAACCTATGCTGTCTCTAATTGGTTGTTACTTTTGTGGTATGAAACTGTGTTCAATCAGGCACAACAACACTGTAAGGTCACTTCCAATTGTTCCAGGCAGCAGTCCTAATAATAACAAGTAAACTAACTTCCATTGTCGACTCCAAATTACTACTAAGCCATTAAGAACTTCAGTCCTTATGATTGCCTCGTGCCAAACAACTAGCTTCTATTGTTGTTTGAAACCTTGGGCTATTATTCCTTTGTCACCGGCTAATACTAAATATTCTAAGTAAAGTTTACCCTTCCGGGATTCCC